CTGCAAGCGCACCAAAATCCAAAGTTGGAATTCGGCACACATAGCACCACGCTGCCCTCAACATCAAAGTAAAGGGACACTGGCGCCGCAAGCATACCAAAACCAAGGTTGGAATTCGGCACACACAGCACCACCCTGCCCTCAACATCAAAGTGAGGGGACACAGGCGCTGCAAGCGTACCAAAATCCAAAGTTGGAATTCGGCACACGCAGCACCACGCTGCCCTCAACATCAAAGTAAAGGGACACAGGCGCTGCAAGCATACCAAAACCAAAGTTTTAATTCGGCACACATAGCACCAAACTGTCTGAAACACATAGGCGATTGCAAAGCATAGCATGACATTTGCCCAAAGAACTAAGCTTGATTGGAAGAGGTTAGATTCAGAAGAGGCTCTGCCACACTTGCTTCATTTTGGGCAAGCATCTTCTTCCGGATCATGTGTTTGAGAGCTGCCTCCATACGATCACTGAGTTCCACCTGTCTCGGGGGTGGAGAAAACGTTGCCAGCCACAGGCGGCGAGACCAACTCTGAGTGAAGCAGAGCCCCGCTTCGATCAGGTTGGAAGCACTTGAACTCCTCCAGCAGGGTCACTCTATGAGACTCATGGTGCACATGGAGAACATTTCTCAAATTTTCATCCGTCAACTGCCACGCAGTCTTGGCATTGATTCCTTGTTCCAGGCACGTGGATGCGTAACCCTGGAAAGCCGCCCCACCCATGTGTCGAATCCTCTCGCTCACCTGCGCAGCTGTAAGCTCCATTCCTTGCTTCTTCTCCACTGAAACACATGCCCAGAATTTGGATGCTCCATTGAGGTCGAGGGCTTGGCTTGGGGAAGTTTGGACAGTGTGTCTGTTGGTTCCCATTTTGAACTCTGCATGATAAAAAGAGTCTGGCATTTCTTGCAGATTAAACAAGCGGTCGTTGTTAAAAAGACGATTCATTTCATTGTTGAGGAAGGTGGCCAACTCGTTTGTCCAGCGCAGGTTTCGCTCATGATGAATAGAACATCTCTCCCCTTCTCCAGACACGGCAACCAAACCTCTCTTCTTGAAAAAGGCCCAGCAGTCATCACTGGTATAGTTGGTTGTCAAAGAACTGGCAAGCCCACGCCCATCTGCATGTCCACTGCCCAAAAAAGGATGTGCCAAGTACCCCTGGAGATCGTGACCTCTGCCCCAACTCCACCTGTCCCTCACTCGCAGCCATTCTCCGACGATTCCGCCTCCGCTGTCTTTGTCCACGATTCCTCCGCCTGCTTGAAGGTTGAACCCTTCCCTGCGACGGGTACTGACCGAATCCGATGTCAGAATGGGTTCGAAAGGAAGCCTCGGACTCCGAAGAATCCGTCTCTTGCATGCTTTGAGCAATCGCTGGCGGAGTTGCCACAATGTTTGGATCCTGTGGAAGGGGGGGTTCAAGTGTTCAAGTACTTTCCCGTCTGTGTTGCAGAAAATGGACCCCTAAGACAAACATGGAGTTCACCGAAATCTCCGCTGACCGACTGAGAAATCATCATTTCAGCACCACGCTCAACAAAGGCTGCAAAAAGTTCTGCCAGGTAACCATTGAAGTGCCAGAAAATCATCTACTCCTTCTTGTTCTGGCTGGCCTGGGCTTAGTGGCAATAAGCAAGTGAAATGCTAAGCAATGCTGCGCAAGACACGCTTTTCAGACCGGTTTAGACTTGCTAGCCGGTGGCCATTGCAACAGAACTGTTTGTCGTGGGTGCACCTTATGGAGAACTGCAAAACAAGACTGCTGGAAAACACCAAAAAAAAAACTAGCCATCGAGTCTATCGCATTCAAGATGGGGGAAAAGAAACACAGTAAATACCACAAGTGCCCAGGTCTATTTGCAGACAGTGCTTGCTTCGCTTTCCTCTTGGGCGTCTGAGTGTCGTTTCTGAGGCACTGGCACAAATGGTCTTCTTCCTGTGTTTGCATACAAAAGCTCAGAATTATGCGGCAAATTTGGAGAAACACAACTAAGTATATAACTATAACTAGTCGTTTGTTTTATCTTGATTTGATTTGGGTATTGCCATCAATCTGAATCCATTCCCTTGGGTCACTTGTCTCGGATTACGGCTCAGCCTCCTCGATTCGATCTGCGTTGGCAAATGACCATCGCAAGCGCGACGACAGAACTCTTGCACTCCGTGACCGTTCTCAAATGATTGTTCACAACCGGCCCAATTCTTCACCTCACCCAAGGATTTGTTTGAAAACCGATTCGTCCTGATCTGACGGAAGGCTGGTCTGACTTGCACAAGCGGTGTTCGTCTTTCACTGTGATCACAAAACAGCTGCAGCTGCTGACAAACTGACAGTTCTCGGCTTCCGGAGGCCTACGTGCAAGACCAACTTCATCTCATTCCTTTGAAGAAGTTTAAAGTGAGCAAGGTGTTGCATCTTGTACTGCTCGCATCTAGAGTCTGCACGGTACACAAAGGGGGAAGGTAAGTCCTTAGCATGGCCCCCCCTGACCGAGCGCTTAAAGCAAATGAGGCAGGTCTTTGCCTTTCACCTCGACCATGCGCCAAAATTGAGGTTCCATTCCTGATGCCCTCGGGAGTTGCGCGCAGGTCCCAAAAGAAAACAACGTTGGGTCGATGTTCGGTTACGTCCAACTGAACACCTCCGAAAAGATCTTGGTTCGGCTCTCACTTGTTGTCACAAGCTGTCTTGCCTGAGAGGAAGCAGGCCTTCGAAGGCATCGGGGCTGCGCAAACCGGCGTCGGTGCACTTTGGTCATAACAGCCCGTCGCGTGGTTTTCATCATAGCAATTGTCACACGGAGGGTTGTCCTTGGGACACAGCTTTTCGCATTTCTCCAAGGGTTCGTAGTCCATTTTGCACCATGCCTTCCTTGGATTTGCTTGAATGCCACCCTTCCCACGCATGTCCTTTTGACAAATACCTATAGCCTACAGACTCAGATTTGCTAGGTTTGGGGATTCACACCAAAATTGATCAACATCTGAGCAGTCTGAGCCAAGCTGCCCCGCAGTCTTCTCGCACGTGTAGCGTGTCCAATGATACTCCGAGTCAAAGGACAGCGGCTTCTCATCGCCGCAGATCGCCGTCTCGTCGGCCTTGAAGTTGTCTGGCTCGCAGTTGTTGGGAAAGGGGTGGTTCTGGCGCAAGGTCATGCAGGCATAGGTGGTCTGGCCGATCCGGTAATCCTGTCCCCGGCAGGAATTCAGGATACTGGCCAGCTTCTTGTCATCCTTCACCTCGTCCAGCAAGTCCGAACAAGTGGGGATCGTGGAGGTATCCATCGGATCAAAGTCTGGGCACTTCTCACCTGTAGTGCAACACTTGCCATTGGTGGGGCAGACCTGTGGGTCCGTGGGTGGGGGGGCATGTGCCGTACACCTTGCCTTCGCAATTCGTGAGGCTCACTGGGTCCTTCAAACTACCATCACACTTTTTGTCGCCCCACAAACAAATGTCCACACTCAAGGCCAGCTTCTCCGAATTCTCCATCGAACATCCCATATCCTTGCGATCGTCGTGGGGTGCCGTAAAGCAGTCCTGCTGAGCACCACCGATGTCCAGATCCGTGGTTCCGTAAGAGCACTGGAACTGGTCCTCCTTTGGTGGTTTCCGGACTTTTCCCCAGTCGCAGTCGCAATCCTGCTCGTTGAACTTGCACGTGATGTTTTTGGCTGCTGTGACCAAGTATCCACGTTGGTTGAAGTAGGAACACCAGCCACCGTTGGATTTCTTGCACTGGTCGTAGTCGTAGCATGCTTCAGTACCCCACCAGCCATAGCGATAAGGTACACCGACCCCAGGGCACGTGCCCGAACACACGTTGTTCTCGTCTTGGCACTTCCAATCTTTGGGATTCGATGGTTTCCCAACGCTTGGGCAATTGGCATCGGCAGTGGAATTGAAGGTCACACCACAAAACTTCTTTCCCTCATAGGATGACTCAAGGCACTCCCCTGCACCGTTGTTGGGAATGGCGGAGAGATCCCAATTGAAGCTCTTAGCATCCGCCTCCACGGTGAGCTCCACCTTCACCGTCTGCTGATCCGCACCAGCCCACGCTTTGTAGTTCTCCGTGAACTCGGGCGGCGCCGCATAGAAGTTCCCGGACCAATCTTCCGGCACGTACTGGACATAAGAGCCGCTGCTGAAGAGCTTGCAAGTACCCAGCTCGTCCGAGGCAAACTTCCAGTGTTTCCCATCCAGTCGACCCTGCCCCAAGATCCACCAACCTTCAGTGGGTTTGTCGGTCTTGATGTCAAAGTTGACCGTCATCCAACCAAAGGTGGGCGAAGCTGCACCGGGCTTACCAGCAGCGGCCAAACACATGTTGAGAGCTCCAAGCAAACAACACCTGCTATCATCACTCGCTGTATCCTGCTTGGAGACTAGGTCGCAGCCACAGTACTTGTCGTCGGCATGGCCTTTGCACTGGTCGACATTGTCGAAGAAGTCCTGACATGCTTTTGCATCACCAGCGGCCAAGTGCAGCTGCATTGCCGCCATGTCATCCACGCAAGCACCATCAGCGCAGGGACTTGCGTCCGCCCATGCAGTGGCAAACAATGCCAGCAGCAAGTAGTGGACAACCATCTCCTCACTCCAAACAAATGACTGCTTTCAAGCGGAGGATTTCCGCCGGCCTTGTGAGATGCATTGAGCCGCTCTACAGGATGCGAGAGAGATTCTTGTTGTGGGCAGCTCAAGGCCCATTGATTCCTGAAGACCTGCTCCATTCAGAGCACATCAGAGCTGACGCCAACAGACTTGCAAAACTCCTGGCTCAAGACATGTCTCTGACCCTTCAGTCCTTCTCTGGACCGTCTGTCGATTGAAAACTCTATGATACAACCATCAATGCATGCAACAAAGGCCTTTTACTCCCTCAGTCCCATTTCATCCTCCCTTTTTCGAGTCACTGCTCCATCTCGCTCTTCCCCACCGGTGAAACCGGGCCCTTTTCATCGGGCCGAGGCCGAGGCCCTTCGCGGCCCTCAGGGCGGCGCCAGTCCCGGCGCCTCGCGGTGGCGACCGCGGAGCGAGTGATCCAAAAGCTCCGAGTTACGATGGTGGGAGCTTGGCCCTCGTGGTTCCTGTCAAACAAGAAAAATGACCGAGTCCAATGGTGACTCCAACTTGGAATTGTCTAGGAATGTGTCCAGGTCGAGCCCAAGTGCGCCAGGCAAAGGGCCATAAATGCATGAACCATCCTTTGGGGATCGTTGGGGCACAGATTTGAAAAGGCAAGCAGGTTAATTTAGAGAGCGGGTGTGCTTGGGAGAGCACACACTAGCTCAAAACCCTTTGAAAACACCGTAAATACATGTATAGCATCCATGCAAATCTTCCAAAAACTGCTCTGATACCCAGGCGAAACGCATATTGTGTCATCGTTCTGTGCCCCCCTCACTCGGACGCGCCTTGCACTCGGGCCGTGCCAGCCGCCTCAGCCGCACTCGCAAGGAGTCGTTCTCCTCCTCCTGGCACGGCGCCCAGGCACGGCTTGGGGAGTCAATCAACCAGCAGCGATGGATGTCTCCGATGAAAGGCTTGCCGTCTCTGAGGTCCCCCCCCCCCCCCCCCCCCCCCCTATCGAAAGTCTTTGACTTCCGAAGATCAGTTCAGGCTTTGACCAGCAAGGGACCTTGCGAGCAAACATGAACATCAGGCATCCCCATCGGGTCGATCTTCACCCCCCCCTGCACTATAGACTAAGTGATTATCCATCTTGTGATCTCGTCCTTCTTCTGGAGCAGATCCCGCATCTTTACCACCTTCGCTTTCAGGGACTCGAAGGCTGCCACGTTGCTCTCCTGAAAACCAAGCTGAAAACGCAGGCCAGCCTGCGCAGGCTGTCGAACATATTCTGAGAACCCACCCAAAACAGGTTGCTGAAGATCTAGAGAATGCAACCAAGATTGTGCATGCTTGATTCCAGAAACTCTCCAGACCATGGTTCTTCGGACCTCCTTTGCATGCTTTGCATGCGACCGACGATGACGGAACTCTCCCGGTGGTCCGGAACTCTCCCGGTCCTCGTCAGCTTCTGCTTTGGCTGCAGAGTGTGCGAGCATGCCGACGGTCTGCTGGTACATGGCGGACACCCGGGCCTTTTCCTGTGAGAAAACGAAGGGATTGTAGTAGCTTCAAAATCAGGGACCAAAATGACCGGGCGGCGAGTTTGGTCTGCAAGCATCGTGACAAGAAAAGGTCTGGTAGACATCGGCACATACTGTGGTTGTTTCTGCATGAGCTTGAATCTATGTCAAATCATCTCAAGCCATTGATGGTGCTGCGGTCCTTCTCCAGGCGGTCTCGTTCTTCCAAGAGCCTGGAAGTGCAGTGCAGCCCATGCCAGCTCTGACAGTGACAGCAATGCAACCACCGAAACAAAAACGAATCCCAGCCCTACTGAACATATTTGCTTCAAGGCAAGCAACACTGAATTGCACAGAACCACCCGCAACTCATCCCAAAGGCTGACATCTTGGACATGCTTGGACACTCGGAAATCACCGATGGGCGGTCCAAACTCGCGGCACGCGTGTTCAGGGCGTCCAATTGACACCACGATTGATACCACATGGTAACCCCAACACCCCACGGCGCATGGTGCCTCGCATTGGCCTGAGAGACCTTCTCCAATGCAGACCTGGGCAAGTCGATCTACTACCTCGAAACCTGGCGATTTGGCCCCACCACTACGTCTTTTGCCTTTTTCAATTCCCGGGGCCCAATGCTCAGCGGAAACGAACAGCTTGGTATATTGGCAGTGAGGAGATAAGGTACCTCGGATTCAAGTGGAGTCAAAAGCTGGACCCCCAAACCGTGGTGAAAAACGTCCTGCGGTCCATTCTGCAGTTTCTTTTTTGAGGGTAAGGTGCCAGGACATCCTGGACCTTGAACTGACTGAACTGACTGGTTCTAGGCACCTAGGACCCCAAGCTAGGACCCCAAGCAAGGACACCTAGGACAACTGGACATCATGGCACCTGAGACCCCAAGCTCTCGAATCTGCTTTTGCTTCTCACGGTCCTTGTCCATGGCCTTGCACATCGCAATCCCCAACGGCACGGTGCGAAGGAAAGTCCAGACCCCAAAAACTGAAGAAAGAGATAGCTAAGAGATGCTAAGAGGCTATGTAAGAGGCTCAGTCATCCAAATTCCACATTCGTAAAACCAACCAAACCAGTCGAAGTGCTCTCTTCTCCCGCCTCCACGCGGACCATCAAACGATTCCGTTCATCCACCACCTGGCAGACCAGCGCCACGGCATCACCGGCAGAAGACCGTGGCACCCGGCGATGCACCGGGCGCCGCTGGCGCGCCAGCGAAGGAAACGAAAAGCCCTTCGCCGCTTCGCCTGGTTGTAAGTGTCCCGGAGCTGAGCCACCTGAAAGACTGGAAAGGTTGCGCAGTAAGAGATTTGCGCGGAAGCTTCCCAAAAGACGGACGGCCCAAAGTCATGATGGTGGCAGTGTCTTTTTTCTGCATTTCAAAGTAGGATTGAACCAAAAAAAGAATCCAGGGAAAACCGGAAGTGCCTCCAACTCAAAGCCGAAACACCATTTGTACCACACTGAACTCCCAGCCCCGCCTCTCTCTCATGCTCGGGGGAACAGGCTGGAGAGTTGATGCAGGCGATCTGCAGCTTGTCGAGGCAGCCCTCGCAGCGACCGAACGACAGACTCGCAAGTGTCTCAACGATTTGGATTTGGTACCGGGAGCGTGGATTGCAGAGAAGTCCTTTATTGGATCGCAAAACAGTGATTGGAAGATCAAACATGATCAAGCCCAGCTGTCGAAGTCCGGCCTTACAGAAGCAGGTCAGACGACGGGTATTGAGGCACGTTGTCGTTTCACCGTGGGGATTGTAAATTCACGTATCAGCGACTCCTGTTTTGGAACCACTTTCATCAGACAGGGTCACCGTGAAAGCCCTCTCATGCACAAAATTTGACAGCAGGTCTTCTGCAGAGATCCAGTAACGGTGCCTAAAGCTGGACTGATCAAGACGCAGAGCCATGGACAAGGTCTTGACGCCCGATGAAATCCTCCTACCTACCGGTAGTACAGGAGCAATCAGGGTATGCTGCGCTCCCAAATTTGAAGACCTGGCTTTGCACAAGATTTGGCTTGTGGTTCGATTGCTGGGTTCTTAGTAGTCTTTGAGACATGTTTTCCAGTTGGAACCGGTGGATTCACCATTCCACAATTGCGTGGCCTATACCAAAAAATGGCTAAGTGAGACCAGCCGGTCCTTGGTGTAAAGGAAATTCTCGATGAGGTCTTCCTTCTCCTTGTCTGCCTGACAAGATCAAATAATCTTCCAAGCTGGAAGATCCAACTGCAATATGCTGTTCCTCTCAATCTGAAATGGTCATCCGCCTGTGCCACGCTTTGTTCCAAGGCTTCCTTCTCTCGGTTCAAGCTACTCACCTTGGCGCGACGAACCGACCAGCAAGGCATGGCCGCGAGGCATGGCGGCGGTGGAACCTTCATGGGCGTCCAGTGTGACTCAGCCAGATTTCATGACCATCACGAGCTACAAACCAAGTTTGCAGTCTTTGGCCGCTCGGGATGACATGGCCCATCCGTTTGAAAAAAAGGTGGCGTCCAACGGGTGGTTGACACCCACTCCCACGCACCCGAACCACAGGCTGTTTGGCACCGAACCACAGGCTTTTTGATCAACTACGTGGTGGCACCCAGCGACGGGAAAAAGGAATCAGTGAGAAGGAATGCCAGCCGCCCTCAATTCCTTAAGCCAGTCGACATGCCATCTCCTTCTCCTTCACCCTGATTCATTGGCGGACCAAATAACTTTTGGTCACCCACTCTGGTTGATTCCAGGTCACAACCTCGGCCATCTCAGATCAGCCCTAAAACCTCTTCCACCACTCCAATCTGAGCCTTCCCTGCATCCGAGCGTAGACGTCGCAGTTCATCCGCGCGCGTCATGTCCTGGCGGTGCCGCCCGCAGGATCTGACGACTCGGCGGTTCTTTGCATGAAAAGGGCTGGTTTACCCTTGGGGTCGAAAGCCCAGATTCCCCATGTGAATCAAGAACTTTAGACCAGATCCGAGTAGCACCAACAACACAGATCAACCTATCATCAACCAACGGTCCAACCATTCAACCGGCGGAAAGAAGGAATAGGAAAAAGGAAAAGAACGCTTCTCGGGTCCCGTTGCGAGTGCATCTCGGCATTGCCGGCCAGCGCATCTCGGTCAGCTGTGCGGCTGAGGGACGTCTACTCTGAACATTTGGCTTGGGTCAAAACTGGGGGCATCCTGGTTGACCACAGAAACTGAACAAAACAGACTACCAAGCTACCGGGGTGAGTTCCCGGCTCCGGGTGCCATGACCCAGGGCCATTTTCCCTCCCAAGACTTGGTGCACTTCTGGAAGGCCTCCTGAAATCTACCAACAAGTGAGAGAGGTCCCAAGTGACCAGTTTCAAGTGTTGATGGTCTACATCTTAAGATTCAGGTGTCCACCTGGTTTTCCTTCCAAGCATGCACCAGCTAGACTTAGTTCAGGTACCTGCAAAAATGAAAGGAGACCTCCAGATGCAAGCATGATGAAGGTGATGTTGATGTTGAACCATGCTCTGAAACAAGCTCACGGAGTTCTCTCAACCTAAGAGCCAAATAGTTCACTGGATCTATCACCACCCCAAGTTCATTTGAAGAGAGTTCTTTCCAAAAGTCTGGGCCCAGCTCCCAAAGTCTCTTGAGGCAGTGCCACAACCTGCTCCCCATTTGGGAGCATTGAGTTACCTGGTTAGATTTCAACCCAAAGTCCATCCCATGTTGAAGATAAGATGGATCAGGACGATCTAGACACTCCGACTGATGCACCAAGTGAGGAGCGACTTCTATTGTAAGCTGCTGATGTTCCATGTATATACAATTATACATGCACAAATATGTCTTTTTTGTAGCCGTCTTGAGCCCCAAGACAGAACGGCCATGCCGTTCTACGGGACGAAGCACACCGATGCCATGAGTTTGGGTAGTTTTGTCCCGACATCTTGCTCAAATTTTGAAGAGATTGTGTTTTCTCATTCGAAAGTCGAAACGACTGGGTCTTATCTATCCTTGTTTGCTCCTTTTTCCCATCCACGGATGCTTGCAACCAATAAGCGCAGTCCGTCCAATTCACTGGGCACGTCGTTTATCCTGGGTCTTCGGCTGATTTGCGCCCGCAACTTGGCAATCTCCGACTTGAAGGCGTCGATCGCGCGCGCCTTGAAGGCATTTTTTGTTGTGGTGAAAGTCCCGCTGTCCGTGGTGGATGGATGGTGTCATTCCAAACTCATGGGTGGCCAAAATCTGCTGTTCAATAAACACCAATGAGAGAACAAACGGTCCACTCAACCAGTCCTTCCTCTGCGCTTCGCCCTTCATCCACTTCACTCCCTGTGTCCCCCAGACTCTCTTCTGCGCCGCAGGTCCATCATCGCCTCGTCACGCAACTCGCGTTCGTTGCAGGGCTTGCCGACGGTCGCGCGAGCGCGCAGGCAAAAGTATGAGCATGATCGCTCTTGAGGGACGCCGATTGCAGCTTCCCTAACCTAACCCTTCTTCAGGTGGTGTAGGTCATCGCTCTTAGGTTGGAGGCCATCGGAGGCCATTGCTACTAGGCTTTTCCTATCCCCTTTAAAGCTCACAGTTCTCAAAACAAGCTATCGTGACGGACGGACCCACACGTGATCCATGCAACTCCGACTTGGCTGAGCATGGCAAAACTTCAAACAAGAGGCTGGTGAAAACGGTACCAACAACTCCCGGCCTGCAGCTTTTTCCTCCTCCACTTGATGCCTGGCCCAACGTAGAAGAATCATGAGATGAGAACGCTGGATAATATGGATAGTTCTATTTGTGGAAGCCTCTCCTCTCATATGCGCCTTTGTACCATCACCGCAGTTCCAGCTCACTGGCAAGAATGTGAAATTGAAAGAATTGAGTTGAGTCTGACAGCATGGTTCCTTGTTGATTCCCTCCCTTGAGTAATTCAGCAGACTGAAGAACCATTCCAAGAACTCGCGCAGCATAGAGAGCTCGTCACCGAAACTCCGCGTTGGGAGCTGGCGACTAAAGCCCACCATGTCGTGGTGTCTTGGAAAAAGGGATGAAAAAGGGTGCCCAAGACTTGGAACACTCGCGGGGACACTCGCGGTGACACTCGCGGTGTCAGCTGTTCTGGCTCTTTACCTTGGAGATCAACGGCATCCAACAGCCCAAATGGTGCAACACTGCACATCAGGATAGTTCAAGTCCTCAGTGCTTTTGAGCGGTGAAACCAAATACTTACCTGATCTTGCTTCCACCCAAGTCCTGAAAATGAAATCATGAAATGAAAAAGCAACTTGAGCGCAACAAGAACTCCGCAACGCAACAAGAACTCCAAATGGGAAAAGAGGGAAATCTTCCTTTGGGCTACCCCTTTGGGCTACCTGACAGCTCCTGAATCCACCAGAGTGTCCAAATCCAGGAGCTCCTGCGGCTGAAACCCGGTCGCCTGAGCTCCTGCGCTTCCAGCTGCAGCCGGCTGTTCAAGGCCTCACGTGGGAACCCGAGCTCCTTGTCCAAAGGGCCAAGCGTGGGAATCATTTGGATTTTAGATGGGTTGGTTTGGGGGCTTGGTGAGGTCTTCTTTGGTTCAATCCTGGTTGGGGAGTAGCTTTGGTCGCTCCTGGTTTTTGGTGCTGTCCCTGGTCGTGAAATCCTCCTGACAAATGGAGGAACCGAAGCTTAGTGACTTAGTTCGTTGTTTGGTTCAGCTACTGTTACTGTGTTATGCCCTAGCTGATGCGTGGCTCATTGTTGGGAAGTTTACCTGCATGCAAGGTCTTGTATAGGTCCTCTCCCTTCAAGAGTAAAGGTGTGATGGTAGAGAGGTGGAGAACATGAATGACGAATCATCAAACTTGGTAGCTTCTGTGTCCAGAATCAGGATGCTGCAACCCAAAAAATACACAGATGGCCACAGAAACAAAAAGATTGACATCTTCCATGTCAACGTGGGGTAAATTATTAACAAACCAACCAACCACATGGCTCAGTACCTCATTTCTCTGGCGAAACCTTTCGGACGGCGCACGGATCCATGTCTCTCACACGTTGGAGGTGGTGGAGCCGGTTTTTCAAGGGATCCCATCGAATCCAAGCCCCTTGGCCCCCCTGACACGGCCATCATGGATCTGCAGTTGCAGCGCAGCCGCCGGACCTCCCTGCACAACGCACAGACACCGGGAGGAAGCGAGACAGAAGAAGGACGGTGACTGAATGAGCCTCTGGGAGATAGGTGGGGACTGGCTCATAGAGATAGCTCTTGGAAAATCTGTCAAACTGTTTAGAACACTCAGGGTGCAATCAAACACTCCATCTCCCTCTTCTAACCACCCGCTTCCGCTTGCCACACCTTAGAATTCTCCCCCCTCCACTCACTCCGTGCAGCGCGCTGCAACCACGCCCGTCCGCAGGCCATGGCCTTGCTGGGTGTCAGTTGCTGGTGCAACTTCTCTATGGCCTCCGTATAGCTGGCAATGGTCTCGCTCAGCTGAGCCTCTCAGCCGCTCCGCGTCTCGTCCACCGGTTTCCACAGCCGACACGACGGGTCGACACGACGGGTGCTGCCGGTGTCGCCGCTCTATTTTTTAGGACCAAAGGGCAAGATCTCGTCAGCTTTTGCTGAGAATGTTTTCAGAGTCAGATGCTAAAGAGTCACTTGGTTCTGAATCCTGTCATCGGCATCGGTGTCCAAAAATGGTCCGTTGAGGTGATCCGGTGCCTGCAACTCCCGCTTTTCATTGTTGGAGTTGCGGACCACCCGCCTGGCAGATGAAGCAACGCCGATCAAAGTTCTTACATGGTGATCTTGCGGTTGCCCTCTTTTCCAAACAGCACAAAATCCGGGACCCCTGGAAGAGTGTCAAAAGAAAAACACGTGATTTTACTCAGTATAGGAGCGAAGCAGGCAGCAAAAAGCATCCAACAAAACCAAAAAAAAACTTCAACAAACCAAATGCAACTTCAGCTCCCCGAAATCCTCCATGATCCTCACCTGTCATCTGGGGCGCCCCGACTCTACGGACTCTAACTGCCCCACGGTGCGATCCAACTCCTGCAGCGGAGAGCCCTCTGAAGCCCTCCGATGAGCCCCCGTTCGTAGCGTCCGATCGCTCCGTTCGTCGCGGTCGTTCCGTACCTGTGATGATTGCGGGGTTCTCACCCCCCGAACGTGAAGGTTGTTGCTCTCCCGTCACAATCGAAACTCCTTCTCGATTCATGCAGAACATGGGCTTCCTCTACCGCGCTTCCTTCCGATTTTCGGACCGTCCGAAGGCCCCGGCCGGTGACCGACATCCACCGAACCGCTTCGGAGACCCATGAAACACGGCTACAACGCGCTCCAAATCCCCCCCACGGCGTCCATCGCCCAAGACGTTGTCAGGTTCAGTGCGAACCCCCATGTCCTTCAACAATAAAAACCTATAATTATACAGTATTGTACAGTAAGTTGCTCAACGCAGAATTCTGTTGGGATCCTATTGGACGAAGATGTGTGAAAACGTCAACAACGACCCATGTTTTCAAATTCACCTCGTCCATTCTTATACGACTGATGGAAAGAAATCGAACTCATTAGCAACCACCCCAAATGGAGACAGCTCAAGCTGCCAAACAGTACAAGCATATTCTCTCTCATCAGGGCATAGTCGGGAACATACTAAATTCTAAAGGAAAAAAACTTGCACCAAAAAGAAAAATGATTCGGACATCTCCGAATAAACTTGAAAAACAATATCTCTTGCAAAGTGGGGCGAAAATCGGTTCGTGTCCTTCACTCCTTCACGAAAGCCTTCGCCGGTCGCTTCCCCGGTCCCCCGGGATCGACCATCCTTGCCAAGTCGATCCGCCAGGCGTTGAAGGTCAAACTCCTCGCGCGCGCGCGCGCGCGGTCCGCCGGCCGGCGGGGCGTCCGCTGCACCAAAGCAACGGAATTTTGGAGTATTGGGGGGTCCTTTCGGGGTAGCGGGCACAGGAAAGCCTTCAAAACTTCTCTTAGTCTAAGGAACCATTAATAAATAAACAACCATGTTGTTGGCATCAGTTCATCTTTTGAAAGTCACTCCACTTCCGTGGGCTCACATGCAGCATACAGCGCTGAAGCACCAGCGCCGATGCACCTAAACCCTTAGAGGTATTAGCTGTTGAGTGCCCTGTGTCCACAAATAGCCTTCGAAAAAGAGAGCCCTGCAGTTGCCGCTCTTGGAACACAAGCCATAGTGGTTAGGAAAGCTTCATGCAGTGGTTTATAATGTTTCTGTATCAAAGTGCTGTTGCTTTGGTCATCTGGGTTGAGCTTGCTCAAGCAGTTTCGGGACACTCACCAAACTGGCTTTTCACATGCCTTCCAAGGCTGGAGCAGGGCCCAAAAATGGAAGCTGAAATCTGATGATCTGATCTCCCCTTGTGTGATCTCACCAAGTCAAAGCCTCAGCACCATCTTCGCCATAAAGCCATGAAGGTGAAGACACTTGCTGCTCCCAGTGTCGGGGGCCCCTCATGCCTTCCGGCCGTCTCCTGTGGCATCACCGTGGTCAATGGTGCCTGGGAGATCGGTCCAGGGGAGACCGATGGAGACCGGGGAGCAGGAGGAAATTCTGGATCATTCCATTTGAAGCCTGGATCTATGTGGTTGATCTGAGTTGATCTGCCTTCAGAGATTCAGAATGTAAGTGCTTGACGTCCAAAAATGCATCTAGGTGGTTTTTGGTAAGAAAGGTTCCAAAAGGGAATATATATGCTATCACCTGGACCTGACAGCTTGCTGCCTAACACCCACTCCGACTATTGGGTCGACTGCCACCAACCGATCATGGTCGTCAGGGACTTGACGTCAGGGATCATCAGCAAACTGTTTTCACACACGTCAAAAGTCTGGCTTGGAATTGCCCTTCCTCTCGAGCTTTTTGTCGAAAGATACCAGTTCACTTCTCAAAATTGCAAACGACGATGGCGTCAAAAAAAATGGCTCACGAGATCTCACTGCGGCGAACGAGTCGGATTTCAGCCTCTTTCAAACCCTGCAAAGCGGACACGGGCCGCGTTGACCCGCTCCGTCTGGGAGGCATTCAAAATGACTTGCGTGATAGCACTTGGGATCAACAAACACCTTCTCCCCATTGTCCAAGTTTTGCAGGCAAATGGGGCACTCTGGCCCCCAGGGCTCTCGACCCAGAGCTTGCAACGACTCCACACAGCGTCGCCTCCACTGCTGTGCTGCTGCGATATCTGCCAAATTCAGTGCATAAAGATTCTGTAGGTTGCAGAGAATTTTCATGATCATCGGTTTCATATTCAAGTTCTCTGCGAGAGCAAGTGCAGTCTGCCAAGCAGTGCTGGCCTCTGCGTATTGATGAAGATTGCGGTACCCTACGGCAGCCCCGTTGAGGTTGTAGACTCGACCTCTGTCATTGCCAAATGTCTCATCAATTCTCTCTGCTTCTCTGAAGTGATTCAGCGATGCCGCAATGTTGCCAAGTCTGTTCTGAATCACTGCAAGGCCAGAAATACATACGGCTAAAGATTGCTGGTCTTCGAGTCTTTCGGCAAGCCGGCAAGACTCTTCCATCTTTCGCTTGCCTGTACGCAAGGACCTTGCAGCATAACCCTCCTCTCGCAGGACTTGCATCCTTAGATGCACAGAGGATGTCTGCTGAGCCATGCGGCGTACTTCCGAAAAGCACTGCATGGCGCCACGTACATCTTGCAGAGATCCCAAGGCCTGGCCTTTGCGAAACATTGCTGCCCCTCTCACTTCCATGTCGTTGGATTCTAAAGCAAGGTCGTAGTTGCCTTAGTTGCTGAACAGCTCGACCACAAGAGAACACAATGAAAAAAGAAGGTGCACACGACCCTTTTGTGGAAGCACCTCCGAAACCACACAGGTATTCGTGAGTCTGAGATTGTATATGGGTGTATTTTTATAGGGAGAGCCGGAGAGCCCCAACCAATGTGCTTTGGTCTATGGGATTCTTTGGGAGGTCTCCTTATTTTAATACACTGACTCCCATATAATGTGTGGCAAAAGAATCTCAGAAGCAAACGGTACAACACGGCAACCTTGCTACGGATGGCTCCGCGATAGTCACCGGCAGCAGCAGAGGCCAGACCCTCTAGAAGAGCCACCTGAGTTTTCTGACATCTGAACAGAGCCCATTTATGTAATTATTGAGGATGGGTTTAACAGTTTAACATGTAGACCCGAGGTAGCTGATGTCTTAAAATGTTCGCATCTTGGTCAGCTTCCAAAGCCTTTTTCTTAGAGGCGCCTCTTCAGGAGCATCTCCGCTCACTGTGAGCCCATGAACTGTGTGGATCCACCTTCCCATGGCTGCGCGGATTGGATGTCGATTGCTGTGGATGCCTGGATCTGGCCGCTGGTGAAATTGGATCGAGATGCCAGTGAGTTTCCCTGCACTGTCCTGCTTTTTTCTGCTTCACCTGACCCGGTTGGATCCGCTTCCAAGGATTGTCTCTGCTTCCCAAGTGGCCTCCTCAACAGACATGTAACATGTTCCTCACCACCAGACAGGTGGTCTTCACTCCACTTTCATGATGAAAGACCGAGGAGTGTCTCTGCTTTTGCCCAAGGATCCACCGGGTCCGACCCCGAATCGTCCGGACCGGGAGGGACGGACAGACCGGACCGCCACGCGGGGTGCCGTGGTCTTTCCAGAGAAAAGCGAGACGTGTGAACCGTTCCACAAACCTCTGGTTCGCATGAGACAAACCTGTCTATAAGCAGAAAGTCTAAAGATCTAGATGCATAAAGGTCCAGAGAGGTGATGGTGGTGATCAAGGTGGGGATCGTGGTGACGGTGGTGGTGAGTGAGTGTGAGTGTGAGTGAGAGTGAGAGTGAGTGTGGGTGAGAGTGAGTGCGAGTGTGAGTGAGAGTGAGAGTGAGTGTGAGAGTGGGAGAGTGAGTGGGAGTGGGAGTGGGAGTGCGAATTAGAATGAGAGTGAGAGTGAGAGTGTGAGTGTGAGTGAAGGTGAGTGAGTGTGGGTGAGAGTGAGAGTGAATGTGAGCGCGAGTGTAAGTGAGTGTGAGTGCGAGGAGTGTAAGTGTCAGTGCGAGTCAGAGAGCGGGCGAGTGTGAGTGTGAGTGTGAGTGAGAGTGAGAGTGTGAGTGAGAGTGAGTGAGTGTGAGTGCGAGTGCGAGTGCGAGAGGGAGAGAGTGTGAGTGTGAATGTGAGTGTGAGAGTGGGAGAGTGAAACGAGGTTCACCAAGTGCTGTGCCTGCCACGAAATCTGCACATCGAGGTTCACCAACTCCTGCACCGGCCACGACATCTACACTTCGAGGTTCACCAAGTGTTGTGTGTGCCACGAAGTCTGCACTTCGAGGTTCACAAAGTGCTGTGCCTGCCACGAAATCTGCACATCGAGGTTCACCAAGTGCTGTAACAGCCACGAAATCTACACTTCGAGGTTCGCCAAGTGCTGCACCTGCCACGAAATCTGCACTTCCAGGTTCACCAAATGCTGTGCCTGCCACGAAACCTGCATCGAGGGTCGCAGAATGCTGTGCCTGCCACGAAATCTGCACATCGAGGGTCACAGAGTGCTGCGCCTGCCACGAAATCTGCAAACGAGCCACATATCCAAAAGTCAGGATTCACTGCACCTGTCACGAAATCTGAGCTCCTCGACGATCACCACCATGTCCAAAGTCCTGCACCTGCCACGAAAACTGCATGTCGAAGTAAAACAGTTCCGATCCCTTGCACCTGTCACGAAAAGTCGACTTTGGAGCACCAAAACACGAGGTTTCCCTTGCGCCTGCCACGAAAAGTGACCACCATGTACCAAAATGCGCACGGCGCCACAACGAGAGCGCAGTCGCTAGAAGCACCCGCCGCGGCCACCCAGATTCTGCGAGCCTGCGCAGTCGAAATGCACATTGATGATGTCGAGAGGCATGAATGCACTGTAAATAGCAACGAATTAGCCAGACACGCCCACGCGGAACAGCGATCTAAGCACACCTGCTTTTCACCTACCGTAAGAACCCCTCAGTGTGCCCACACTGTTTGGTGAAAAAAACTCTGGAGCTGTTCACATCCCGAATGATCCTTTCGCAACATGTCTCAACCAAACTGTCCAATTCTCTTCCTCACGTGACACAATTCCCTGCTTCCTCACGTCCATCATACCACAGCTGAACGGGTTTGTGAACCGACTGGATTGTTTTCTGGGATCTTCAGTGGGCCAGCTAGCTCGTTGATCTCTTTGGTTTTGATGAAGCTTCAAAGCTCTAGGAAAAGTTGTCTAAGAGCCATATGATATCATATGATGTTGAGTGTTGACTTGACAGGACGCTTCTACATCTCCATATGGAGGGTTATGATGTTGAGTGTAGGATGGCCGACAATCTTTTGGCGCACTTGCGAATCATGTTATGTGCACAAACGTCTTTCATCGCCCCAGGAAAGATTCAGCGCCCAAAAGAGATCTTCACTGAGATGGAGGAGGAGCAAGTTCTTCACAAGTGTGTCCAGGATTTCGAGTGAGCCAGGAAAATGGAAGCTCCATTCCCGTCCAACAACCCGCTCACTTCCCCAATCCAGGCACCCCGACGCCCGGGCGCGCCGGATCCTGAAAGAGGCGGCCAAGAACGAAGGAGGTCGCCACGTACTGCCGCGCCTTGGGGGCTGAAAGGAGCCTCAGGGGTGTTTGGGAGGCTTTCACCGATGGGTGGGGCCTGTGGTCATGACCATGATCTGGACATTTGGTTTTCAAGTGAATGGAATAGTGTGTGTGTGTATACATATATATATATATATGCAAGTGTTCACTTGGACGATCATCCCACGATAGCTAGTGTAGTGATCGAGTCGCGCCGCGACCGAAGTTCTTTTGGTACAAGATATCCAGCAGACGGAAAACCGCCTGACGAGTCGCACTTACGCCATTCCTCCTCGGTGTCCACGGGATCCAGTACCTTCGAGCTTGACACCTCCGGGCTACCGTGCATGGTAGCGGAGCCTCACCTCGTGTGAGGCTCCAAAGATCTAGGGACCTTCAGCTCCTGTCGCCTAGCCACAGGAGACACTACGGTGCCATGGAGAAGACCTATATGCAGATCGAGCGCAACAAGGAAGGCGTCCCATGTTGGGACGGCAATGCAGCGACGTTTCAAGAGTACGCTGAGATGGCCAGTCACTGGGAACAGTCAGTGCCCATCCACAAGCGATACCTTTGTGGCCCCAAGCTACAGGCAGAGCTGACTGGAACGGCAAGGAGATTTGTGATGTCCATGAAGCCTGGATGGATCTCCTTTGATGGTGGCGTGCAAACGCTCTTAGACCACCTTCGCAAGCACTTGGGTCAGCCTCAGCTCACCGAGATGTCAGAGTACATGTCCAAGTACTTCAAGATGACCAAACGCCGTAGGCAAGAAGGCATGAACGACTACATCACTCGGAAAGCTGAAATCTATGCTAGGGCCTGCCAAACATTGGATCGTGTACAACGTCGCTTCTCACCCGGGGTAGGCCAGCGTCTGACCGGAAGTGCCACCCGGAGTGATTACAGCAGTATACATGCAGAACAGCCTCCCACAAATCAGGACTACACCCCTGAGGAGCAGACCTACTATGATGTCCCTGATGAGGAGCAAGAGGCCTCAGCCTCTGCAGAGAACTGGCCGAGTTGGAGCCATTCCTGGTGGCAATCTTCGGGAGATTGGCATCATCAAGAATGGCAAGGGCGAACTCACAGCTGGCAATCAGAAGCTCCTGACCTGCTGCCGTCATTCGTACAAGGCTGGTTCCTGCTTCAGGATGCAGGACTAGAAGTCCATGAACGAAACTTGGTGATGACAGCCCTGAAGAATGACTTCTCTGTCGAACGAGTGTCTCAGGAATTGAGGAATCAGTTTCCTGACCACGAACTACGACATCGAGACCCTCATGGTCGCTCGTCAGCTATGGCTGCCGAAGAATGGTCAGAAGATGAGGCTTTGGCTTCATCGGACCTGAGCATGCTCGCTCAGGAAGGCATGAATGACCAAGGCCTGATTTTGATGGAAGAGGCCGAGGACACCGCACAAGAAGCTCTGGCTGCCATCGAACGAGGCAGACGCACTCTACGAGAAGCCCGAGCACGACAGCACCAGGTTCGAATGAGCCGTCAGTACTATCGTTCAGACCGCACTCAGCAAAAGAGCTCACCTTGGCAGTCGTCAAACTCTCAACGCCCTTCTGGCTCTTCAAGTTGTTTGAAGTGTGGCTCCAGTGGACATCGCACAGCGCAATGTCCCAAGAAGAGTGAACCTCAAGGAACAGCACACACTGCCCAGAATGAATCGGCCCCTTTTGTTTGCTTCACCGAGTCCATCGACAAGAATGAGGCAGGCTCACTTCATGGGAGACGGGCTGACCTCCGAGGAAGCCATGCGACAAGGGAAGGCCATCCTGGACGGCGGTGCTACGCGCACCTTGGGCTCAGTCACCGCAGTTGAGCAGGTCATGGACCTGAATGAGAAACTGACCGGAGCCACTGGCATTCGCCACATCGACACCTCGCAGAGGCCAACATTTGGGTTTGGGAACAGCTCAAGTGACCAGTGTTTGTCCACCGCATGGCTAACCGTCTTGGCCGGCGGTAGGGAAGGTGAGCTGAAAGTGCACACCTTGGACCGTGGAAACAGTCCAATACTGTTCAGTATAGAGACCTTACGTAGTCTAGGTGCGGTCATAGATTTTAAAGAAGATTTGATCGTTTTTCGTGAACTCGATTCAAAACGAATCATCCGCCTGGAACGCTCATGTACAGGCCACCAATTGCTGCCATTGACCGAGGACTGGTTCAAGAACTCTTTCGTGGTACAGGAACCAGTCCGCAGTTTGAAAGACCTCCATTAGGGACAACTCCTTCCTGACTCCCCGTCCGTGGAGGAAAGGAAGGGCGAAGCAGCGACGGACAATTTTGGCAGCACTCAAACCAAATGTCCCAGTGTTGATGTGCATGTTGAGGAGTGTTTAGGTAGCGGTGATGTTTTTGACCCCCTTTTTGAAACTGTCAAACCTCAGAGTCAAGAGCCAAGTGCCACACACATGTCAACTCAACACACCACATTCACAGCCACTTCACGTGATCAAGATCCAGCGTTCCCAGAGAACACCACTCCTGCGGACCAACATGGCCATGAACCGCGAAGAACTCCTGACGGAGTTGATCCGCCTGGGAGAACTTCCTCCCAAGACATGGACCAATGCCGAGCTGCAGGTCCGCATGGAGGAGCTGAGAAGCTCTCATGGACTGTCTCCCAATCCAAAGGCCAAGCACAAGACCCCCCTGAGGTCTTTGATGATCCAGTTGAATGCA